TATTTTTGCTGGTGGAGGGCTGCTGACTGATCAGGGTGGTGGTTGCAGAAGGTTGGGGAGGCTGTGGCAATTTCTTAAAATTAGACAGCAGTGAAGTTTGCCACATCAATTGACTCCTCCTTTCATGAACGGTTTCTCTGTAGCATATAGTAATATTTGATAGCATTGTACCCACAGGAGAACTTCTTTAAAAATTGGGAGTCAGTCCTCTCAAACTGTGCCACTTGCTTTATCAACTACGTTTATGTCATATTCTAAATCCTTTGTTTTATTTCAACAATCTTCATAGCATCTTTACCAGGAGTAAGTTCCATCTCGAGAAACTACTTTTTTGCTTATTTATAAGAAGCAACATAAAATGAGAAAGTTTGAAATAGTGTGAGAATTACCAAAGTGTAACACAGAGACACAAAGTGAGCAAAAGCTGTTGGGAAAATAATGCTGATAGACTTGATTGTATGCAGGGTTACCACAAACCTTTGATTTGTGAAAAGCACAATATCCACAAAGTGCAATAAAGGAAAGTACAATAAAATAGGATATGCCTGTAATTGTACTCTCAGTGGGCCAAATCCCAAATCACAGCCAGAACCAAAATTAGCAACACACTTTCCAATTTGGCCAGTCTAAGTGATAAATCTTTCATTTTTGTAAGTTACAAGACTCTCCTCCCCATATGCATTTGAATACCAACTAGAATTTTCACACATACAGCGTAACTAGCCTAAACCCAAATGATTGATTTTTTTTATAGAAAAGAATTCTTTAAAACTTGAGAGATCACTACTATATACAACAGGTAAGAAAAATTTAAGCTAAAGAGAAGCAGAAACAAAGGCTTTTTTTTTTTGAGAGGGCATCTCTCATATTTATTGATCAAATGGTTGTTAACAACAATAAAATTCTGTATAAGGGAATCAATGCTCAATGCACAATCATTAATCCACCCCAAGCCTAATTCTCATCAGTCTCCAATCGTCTGAAGCATAACGAACAAGTTCTTACATGGTGAACAAATTCTTACATAGTGAATAAGTTCTTATATGGTGAACAGTACAAGGGCAGTCATCACAGAAACTTTCGGTTTTGATCACGCATTATGAACTATAAACAGTCAGGTCAAATATGAATATTCGTTTGATTTTTATACTTGATTTATATGTGGATCCCACATTTCTCCCTTTATTATTATTATTATTTTTATTTTTAATAAAATGCTGAAGTGGTAGGTAGATGCAAGATAAAGGTAGAAAACATAGTTTAGTGTTGTAAGAGAGCATATGTAGATGATCATGTGTGTGCCTGTAGACTATGTGTTAATCCAAGCTAGACAAGGGCATTAAAACATCCACGGATGCAGAAGATTTCTCTCAAAACAGGAGGGGTGAGGTTCTAAGCCTCACCACTGTTGATCCCCAATTTCTCACCTGATGGCCCCCCTGCGACTGTGCCTGTCTTAGATTGTTTCTCCCTTGAGGAATCTTACCCGTCTCTGGCTAACCAGCCATCTTCCGGGGCCATACAGGGAGATGTAAAGTTGGTAAGTGAGAGAGAAGCCATATTGTTTGAAAAGCAAAGGCTTTTGATACAACCAATAAAGTTAGAATTTTAACATATGCACATTTAACTGTGATATATTAGTATGGTGTATACTAGAAAACTTGAAGGATGAGATAAAATTTTGAGTATGTGTACAATTTCTACTAGTTTCTTCCTGAACTTCAGCGATTATCTGGCACACCCTGTTTTGGAGAACTGGTATACAGTGCTGATAATCTTTTAGGCCAATAAATATTTCCCCTAGTCCTATACCAGCAGCAGTGGTATTAACTAGTAGATGCAAAAAAAATCAATCTGAGTACATAAGGAACTCTTCCATGGACATACCATGGTTCAGAAACTACCACTTTTAGAAGCAGAGATCTTAGTTTTTTCAACTTCAGGACATAGTGGTGGTTGGAGAGCTTGGAAAGCTATGCTTTCCCTTTTTTGCCATTCCAGAAGAAAAAAATCAGTATTTTTCAATGGTTAACTACTGTTTTTTGAGGTGATTAAGATGGAGAATTTTGTTAAAATGAAAAGTAGCACTTCTAGAAATTCATGTTTTTATTTGCCTCTAAGCTTGGGGGCAAATGGTGAAGTGAGGGATTAAGAAGCTTTAGGGCCAGAATTAATGGTTTCTTTTAATCTTGTTCCATAAGCAAGAAACTTAGGCATTGTAAGGAACTGGGCAAAATCTAAAAGATGACCCAGCCTTCTAATCTTATGGCCTTGTTGGGGAAACAAACCAAAACTATGACACATAATTTGGTATAAATAACTATAACATCATTTTTGGTATGGGTGAGAAGATGTTATAGGGAAACAAGATTTAAAGAAGTAGAGAGTGACAGGTTTCAGAGAACGGCGCTCTAAAATATGCCACTGTGGCATATATTTTGTGCTGAAGGCACTAAGAAACAACAGATGAAGGACTCTCTGACTTCCTCCTGTTTATCTAGAGTAGGTCCTAAAATTTTCTGTGAGAAAGGTGTCTGTCCTCTACTAGGAAGAAAACATTACAAGAGATGAGACTGATGCCCAAATAGGCTTGTACAAATAAACTAAAATAGCCCTTATCTTCCTTTAATTTCCCTCATATATTTCATAGTTACTGTCCCACAATGTACTGCCCCTAGCTCCAAGCCCCTTTGTCTTGACAAATCTCCACAATCAATCATTCTTTGTGCGAAAAAGTATATAAGCTTTTGGGCCTAATGCCTTCTTTGGATCTTCATTTTTGTTGTGAAGACTCCTATGTACATGTAAAAGCATTAAATAAATTTGTATGTTTTTCTGCTGTTAACCTTATGTCAGTTTAATTCTTAGACCCAGCCACAGAACCTAGGAGAGAAGGATGTAGTTCTTCCTCCCCTATAAAAGAAATAAGCTTTTCAGATTAAAGGAGCCTCCAGAACCAGTGTAGGAAAATAAAAGATTGTTGGAAAGTGAGGCAGTTTATTTGGCTTGAGTATAGGATTCACATTAGAGTGCATTCAGAAATAAAATAGAATGATATGTTAGTGCCAGATTAAAGACTGTCAACTTTATCATTGTCCACAGTGGTACACCACTACAGGTGTTTTGAGCAGCAGTAATGTGCGTTGTTTTAGGAAGATTTATCTGGCCATTATTAAAGGGGCTTTTAATGTAGTCTTGCTGAATAGAATCATAGTTTGGAAATAGAAAAATACAGATACGAAAAAAACATTATTTGGGAAGAAAAGAGGACATTAGGAAGGGAAAGAGAGCAGTCAAACACAATGTCTGGTAGAATCACGGAACCACTGCAAATATACATCAGGAGAAACAAGTTTTATTGGAGAAGTTTATAAGAGCTTTTGAGTTAGTTTTTGTTCCGACAGTAAGACTATGAAGAAATATCCAACATCCAACAAACAGCTGAAAATGTGAACCTAGAACTCAGATGAAAGATGCAGATTTAGGACATGCATTCTCAGGACACTGTAGAAAGAGAAAAATAGCCAAGAAACCAAAGACAGACTTTAAATGCCATCATCTAAAGAGGTAGGAGGTTAGAATGGGTTAGGACCTAAAATAAGTAGTGCAGTGTCCCAGAAAATAAAAAAGGGTTTATTAAGTAAGGAAAACCAAGTGATCTTCAGTGATATCAGTTGCTATGAACTGCCAAGTTCGCTTGTAGTGATCAGGTCAAATATAACATTTGGCAGTTTTGTAGTTCTTTTCATCCCCTCAAGGATGACTAGGAAATAAAATCCAACTCTTCACCACGTCTATGGCTTAATTAGAATTAATTCCTACTTTTAGTGATTGGAATTGAAGATCAGTCGTAAACAAGTTCCCATAGACTTCATTTTCCTACCACGTACTGTAGGTTTTTGTTAAATGTGCCAACAGCAAGGAACCAAATAATATGGTAAGTCCTTACAAGGCACAGCCTTAAAAGAACCAATGAAAGAAGGTTGTCCAGTATCAGCGTATGTTAAGGTGGTGTGAGAACTCCAGAAACCAATGGCTCCCCAATTCGATCTAAACAAGGACTTGAGTAAGAGCAAGGGGGTGGCACGCATGGAAAAGCCAAAAGAGACGAAGAAATTGGTGAGAAAGACCTGACTTCTAATTAATGGGAATCTGGTGCTTGTAACACCATCCCTTCTAAGTTTTTTATCTATAACACAAGATTTTAAGATAACGGGCCCTGAAAAACTAATTAAATGTATGCACTCTGTCAGAAAAAAGAAGACAAAAATGTCTTCTTGCATGCATTTTCTTGGGGATTTATGGGCCTGGCAGGTCCTACGTGTCCTCTACCAGCAGCACTGAGAGCCGACGTTTGCGCAGGCGCATGAGCAGCCCGCGGAGGGGCGGGGCGGTACGCACCATGCGACCGCGCCCTTCGTTTCCGTCGCGCCTCCCCGGAAATCTCGGGTCACCAGGCAGCCCGGGAGTAGGAAATGCTTCCTGGAGCGCAGAGGAGGACACGAGTCATGTGACGACGGCGTTGGAGGAACCTGCTTCCGAAGCTGTGACTGAAGTGGCAGCCAAGAGAACCAGGCAGCCCTGAAACCCAAGTAACTGCAGCCCCTCTGCCGGGCGGTCGGGGCTGGGCCTGGAGGTGGACGAGGAGGGACGCCTCTTCCCCTCGCCTTCGGGCCTAGGTCTTGGGGGTGGAGGGTGGAGTGGGCCGAGGGAAGGGCCCCTGGCTGCCCTCCGGGTATCTGCGTACTCCCATCCCCTGGGCTACCGAGCCGCGGATTTGCCTGCCCTTGGGGAGAGCGGACCCTGTGATTGGATGGGGACGGGAGGGTAGGGCGGCCTTGAGGGGGGAATCACACGGTGTGTCTCTTCCAGGAGTGCAGACCCACCCTGCGGGAGAAAGGGCTCGTCATGGCGGATGTGAGTCAACAGCCCCCACTGGAGGAAGGAGAGGGTGGGAAGTTTGGAAGAGGGCACTGGGCGGGAGAGGAAGTGCTTCCCAAGGAAAATTTGTTTCGTTTTGGGCACTCCCACCCCTGTTAATAATTTTCTGTAGGATCTGGAGTGAGTGACTAATACGAGTAGATTTGCAGGGGCCTGCGTTTCTGCCTGGAATCGGGGTGGAGGCAACTAAGGTTTCTTAAGTTGAAAATATTATCTTCACACTCCCCAGACCTGCGGTCATAAGAGCCTCCGAATATTTACTATTTGAATTTCTAAATGATGGTTTGCTGCTCTAAATCTTTTTTTCCAGTAAGTGGTCATGATGTCTCTCTAGGTTCATTGTTGCAATATGAGATTAACTGATAACCTCTTTAGCGCAGCAGTTAAAAAAAAAAACCCAGATTCTAATTTAGGGAATTTAATTGTACTAGTTACTAGAAACAGCAAGGAATTAATACCGCTGCTAATGTTTGTTGGTTACATTTTACATTTTGCTATTTTGTTTCCATGCATGCCGGGTATTCCAAACATTGAGCACATAGTCATTTAATTCTTAAAACAACTTTAATGAGGGTAGGCACTGTTACTACCCTGGTAATAGATGAGGCTCAGGCGCAGAAAGATTAAATAACTTGCTCAGGTTACTCAGTAAATTGTGGAGTTAAAATACCAACCCAGGCAGTCTGACTCCAGAGTGGATGCTCTTAACCACTGCACTAAAACTGGTCAAACCACATTGGTGTGAATCCAGTTTTCCTTTTTAGGTTGCAAGATTATGTATCTCAACATTGAGCAACTTTTTATGCCTTTATCACTCCATTTTTGAGACGTTCTTTAGGCATAATCAAAACTAAATACCTATTGAGCATCTGCCTTGCAAAGGTTGCTGTAATAAGGGCTGTGGGTGAAATATGATTAAGGTATAATCCTCTCCTTAAGGGTTTTGAAAGTTAAAAAAAAGTTTAGTAGGCAAGTAATCATACAAATGTGATTATTATGTGACAGTCCAAAAGAGAGGGATTAGATCTGGTTTGTATTGTTTAAGAAAGCCTATTTGGAATACTTGGTGTCTTGAGATTAGCTCTAAATGATGAGTAGAAATTTTTTTTAAAGTAAGATTGAGAAGGAGAGTATTATTAGTAGGATGACTAGCATAAGCAAAGTTAGATAGGAAAGTCAAAGGTGTGTGTGGAGGAACTGTGAGTTTAACTGGGGCTGAGGATATGTATCAGAGAGTGGTAGGAACCAGGACTGTGAAATTAGTATTCTGGAAGGCTCAAATATCTAAAGAGTTTATATGTAATTCAGCAAACAGCACAGAGCCATTCGAACCTTGGCTACACAGGGAATTATCTGGGGAGCACCTCCAACCCAGGCATCAGTGTTATTTCTACACTCCCCAAGTGTTTTCCATAACTAGTGTTGAGAATCACTGCAATTATGACTTCAGAGAGGAAGAAGAAGATTGTTATTGGCGCTGTGTAGAACTGTGCAGGATAGAAATGAGAGACCAGCATACCATTTGGGAGACTAATGTAAGTCATAAATAATAAAATGAACCTAAACTGTAATGTCAGTTGAAAAAATAGTTTAAAAACATTTGACCTGACAAGTGATGTAAAAGTGACACCTGTGAGGTTAGGGATAAATATTACTTTGCTTTTCAAACCTGAATAACAGGATTGGTAGTGCCATTAGTGAAACAAGAAGAGAGAGGAAGTTTGGATTTCCGATGAAGCATGAGTTGAGTTTTGTGTGTGTGTAAAGATAAGAGCAAAGGTAAGCTGGTAGGGATAACATGACAACATGACATAAAATGAGCATTCAGGTTTGGAGTATAGTAGAGATTCAAAAGAACAGTTATCTGGCTTACCTTTGTGGGGCTCGTAATTGATACCCGGATTGTCGGTGAAATTCCCCAGATGACAGAGTGGACAAAGTAAAGACAGTCTTTTATTTCTTTAGTCCTAATTATGTTCCATACTAATCGTTTGACACACTGTCACTTAATTTTTAGTCATATGGGGAAACTGAGTTTCAGATAAGTTAATTATCCATGATCATTAAAGTCATGTAAAAAGAAAGTCTGTCTTTGGGCATAGAAAGATGTTCATAATATATCTTCAAGTGAACAGAACAATAGCAACAAGATGTGAAATAGTATGAAAAATACTTAATTATGTAACGTGTATGTATTTGCGTGTCCCATTTCTGGATATGCTAATCACTTTGTATGCATTTTCTCTAACAATTTTATGATGTATGTTCTGTGATTATTGCTTATCAACAAGCAATGAAACTGAGGCTTAGAGAAAAGGTTAGTTAACTTTCTGCAAGTCACACAACTGCTAAGTATCAAAATCAGAGAAAGATAAAACACAAACAGGGAAGGTTATGAATGATGACTTGAGGTACTTGAAATGTACAAAGGACAGTATCTAGAGAATCAGTATAAGGCATGTTACTATAATAATTTTTTATAATCTCTTTCAGGACCTAAAGCGATTCCTGTATAAGAAATTACCAAGGTAAAAAATTACTGATTTGTTGTTCAATAAACTCTGCATAACATATGCTAATTTTATGTAGTATTGTTTTCATTTATTGTAGCCTAATACTATGTGTTTATTATACTATTAATTATCACTTTCAAATCCCTAACATAACCCTAGGTAGCACAAGAGATATCCTTTGACTTTTCAGATAAGTAGCATGAAGCGTGGAGAAGTTATGTGACTTGTCTAAGGTTGAACAGCTAGTGAATGACAGAAGGCTAGAACTCAGATTTCTTGACACTTTAGAGTTCTTTCAAATACACTGTCATAGCAGTTCACTGGATTATACTTTGTAGTAGTTAGAGTAACTTCAAGGGAAAAACTTAAGAACTTACCTTTATTTTCAGTGTTGCTTTTAAGACCTTCATGCTGAGTCTGTATAATCCAAAAATGCTCGACTTCACAGTTCATACTTAGAAAAATCACAAGGCTTTGTTTTGTCTGCACAGAAGTCCATTTGATGCACCATTTTATATATTAGGCTCTTGTGTTGAGGACAGCAGACTTAAATATTTTACTGATTCAGAGGATTTTGTCACTGTAGTTGAATTAATATTCACATTTAGTTTAATATAAAATTATACCTTAGAGTTAAGGTCATGAGAGAGGGAGGAATATAACTTGAGACATCCATTTTCACATTCCAGAATAATTGAATAATTTTTAAGGTAATATAGGAGAATATGTGGTGAGATCCTATTTTTATTTCTTCTTGAAAGTTGATTGAAGTTAAAGCAATTTTAGAGATTAGTTTATTTCTGTAGGGGTAGGCCAGAAAAACTTGTTTGGGTTTTTGCCTGAATTACTTAGTGTCGTTTGCTTATTTGCTGTGCCTTTACTCTCATTATAGACCCCTAGAAATTAATGATGCTATCTTCTGGCTATGCTTTCTCTGTATTTTTCTTCTATACTCAGAAAAAGAGCATGATTAAAGAATAATTGTTACCATTAGTTTCATGTTAATGCTGTACTGTTAGCTAAACTGTATCCATACTAGAACCATACCAAATGAAGGCTTTCTGTATTTATGTGTTTACCTTGTTGAAGATGTAGCACATTGAAAGGATGCTAAAATTGACCCAGAGTGATGAGGGTGGGGAGTGGAATACCACACTGGTGACAAGATCTAGGAACAGAAACATAATTGATCTGTTAAAAAAAGGTTTATTTGTAAAAACATAATGTAAGTCTTTACACAGTGGAAGGGAAGGGATTAGTACCTTGTGGGATTTTTTTTCCTATAATGACCAAGCCCTTTCTGATTCTTAGTCATAATCATTTTGTAAAGTAGGCTTATTGTGTCCCAAGAGCTAGAAGAATGAAGAAGTAATAATACTGAACACTTAAAAAGAAAAGTAATCGATTATACACTTTGATTTGTTGCTAGATTTATGTAGAGTTAAGGAAGTTGCTAACTGTCCTTCTGTGCCTCTCAGCAGCCAGGTCAGACAGCTGCAGGTATTAGTGGAGTGTGTTGTTGTTCATTTTCTAATTCTCTGTTACATTAAGTTCTTGGATTGGTATTTTAAAATCTAGTTGTGACCCAAAGCAATCTCAGACTTTAAAACACACAACTTTATGTGTTTAAAATAACAAATGCCCCATTATATGAATAAAACTAAGTATAATGTCTTTGTTTACTAATGTAACATTTTTTGGAATAAAAATGTTTTAGTAAGCTTAGTGTTTACATGTCTGCAGAATATTTCATAAAATTTTATACTTAAAGTACAGTTTACTTATTAAAGCATCATAGTTATGTTCAATTACTAGTAAATCTGTTCATTTTATTGTTTTCAGTATGTGTAGAATTAAAAACACCTTATTATCTGTGACCTGGTTTCTCTAAATCGGCACTTTATATGACAATTTTTCTACTTCGGTGGATATTTATCTCTGTGAATTTGAAATCTATTAAAGTCTTTTTCCTTCTACTTATTCTTGTTGTATTAGTTGGCATTTTAATTAATTACCATGAAAGTAAGAAAAAAGAAACTACCTATGGTGACACAGATATTTCTAAGCATTTTTCTATTACTCTTCACCTCTTTTAATTTGCTTGTTTTTTGAGTAGGCAACACTTTCATAAAGCTCAAGATTCAAAAGTTAACTGAAGGTTATAGAGTAAAAAGCTTCCCATCCTGCCCTCCAGATACACAATTCCCCTGTCAGAGGCACCTATTGTTACCTTCCGAGATATTTTATGCACCTGTAAGCAAACACATATGTAAGCACACATATTTATACATACACACGTATTTTTGAGTCAGTTCATCTGCTTTAACAAAGTATCATAGACTGGATTTCTTATAAACAACCAAAATTTATTTCTCACAGTTCTGAAGGCTGGCTGGAAGTTCAAGATCAGGGTGCCACTGTGTTCAGGTTTTAGTGAAGGCCCTCTTCTGAGTTGCAGATTGCAGACTTCTCATATCCCCACATGGTAGCAGGAGGGCTAGCTAGCTCTCTAGCCTTTTGGCAGGGCTTACAATTCACTTATCTCTCTCGTTCATTAGTGTTAATTGCTTCCCAAAGATTCCATCTCCTGATAACATCACACTGGGATTAGGGTTTTAATTTATGTATTTCTGGGGGAGATGAAAGCATTTATTTAGTCCATTGCAACATATACTCACTCATACCTGCGTATGTTATGTAAGTCGTTTTTTCTTATATACGCTATTCAAAACTTTTTTCACTTAGCTATACAGCTTTTAGATAAGACCTCAGTATAAAAAGCACTACTGCTTTATTTTTTATGGCTGCAGAATGTTGTGTGTGTGTGTGTGTGCATCTTAATTTATTTGACTTGTTCTTTGTGAACAGTTAGGTGTCCCATCTTTTCCTATTTTAGGTGATGTTACTGATAATTGCCCAGAACAATCTGTAGGTATGCAAGTATCTGTAGGGTATATTTTTATATAACCTGGTTTTAACTTAGAAGAATATACTTGTTTTATTCATAAATCTTATGAAGCATGTTTTAATCCATAGATAATTTCAGGATTGAATGATATTGGAAAATAATACCAATAAATATGCATAGTTGTTTCATCATTCTTAATATGAGGCAGATAAATGGTCTTGTTTGTATCATTTTCTCCTCAGATTTTAATAATACTTCTTGATAGTGGGACTCAAAAAATTTAATTTCAGCATTCTAAGTTAACATGACTATTCTTTCCTAAGTTAAAACATCAAGTTTAGCACAATAAGGAATGGGTAAATCTGGGTTATAGTAGGTACACGTTTCTGAGTTGTAATCTACAGTATTACAAGACAGTTACAAGGCTATAGGAGTTCTTTAAATGTTGACAGTTTGAGAATGTTTCTCTATTAGACTTTTAATGATTTACTTTTGTGCTTTAGGGATTCTCATTAATAATTTAGTACTTAAACTGCAGTGTCATTGTTAGTGTGCCCAGATGACACCCTGATGTTAATAATAATTAAAATTTTTGAATGTTATCAGAATTATCAGCCTTTAAATTCATTATTCTGTTAAGTTTCACAGTAGGCAGATAAGCATAATTATCCCCATTTTCAGATTGTTAAGTGAGGCTTCAAGAGGTTTCATAATTGGCCAAAGGTAGCATAAGTAGCCAGTAGGAGGCTCTGAACTGGGACCCAGGTCTTTCTAACTTCAGAACTATAGTCTTGAACTGCTTACTGCTGCTTACATACACAGGACCGAAAGGATTTCTGCATGACCTTCGTTCTTTCTTTCCTATCTGGTCAGCCTAGCCTGATCTTTCCATCACCTTCTCTTCATCAGTGCCATAACATTCAGCTGAGCTCTCACTTCCTCAGGGAAGCCTTCCCTGACCCATCTGTCTGAATAACCCCCTTCCTTTTATAGGCTCTCATGTCCCCATGGACCTCTTGATGGTACTTGCCACAATTGTAGTTATGCATTTGTTTGTGTGAGATTTTTGATTGTTGCCCTCCTTTTAGATCCTAAGGTTTGTGAAGGGAATGATTTTATGTATTTGTGCTTATCATGACATCATATATCTTGTCACAAATACTGGGTACTTGATAGTGTAATGAAAGAGAGGAAAAAGTCTTTTGTCCCTATAACCATTGCTGATAACCTGTCACTTTTATAAGCCATGGAATAATTAAAATTTTAATGGAGAATCTATGTTTTAGCTCATCATCAATACACTACATAAATTTGTTAAGATTATAAGCGTATCAGTAATAAACATTCATCCAACTTTGGGAAGAGTTTTGGCAAACATAAGAGCCTTTCATGTCAATAATTGAGTTTCCATGGTTTTTTAGAAATATGTATGAATATTACCATTGTGACTTTGAGGTACGTATTTTAAGAAAATGAAATGTTTTACAATATTTTAACTTTTTTTTTCTTTCTAGTGTTGAAGGGCTTCATGCTATTGTTGTATCAGATAGAGATGGAGTACCTGTTATTAAAGGTAAAACTGAGTATTTATGTGCCAATGTCATGTTTGCTTTTGAATAAAAAGGTATTTATATCTAAGTAATACAGAAAGCAAGCATATATAAAACCCATTTCTATAAGAGATGGTCTTAGTTTGGGAGGGAATATTTGCTTTTGTATGTTGAAGCTTGGTTTGGAATTTATATTAAGACATGTAACTGTATCATGTTACCATCCAGTTTAAGCATGGATTTATCAAAGGCTTAATTCCCCATTAAAGACTTTTTTATGGTATAATGTAAACCATTAGCAAATCTAAGTGATGAGAGTGGGCATGTATACAGCTACATATATTATCCTCACAGACTCCCCCCAATATATAATTTTTATCAATATTGCTAGTAGTTTTAGGAAAAACATCCATGTATTTTTGTTAACATGTATTACTTTGTTCAATCTTTCTAGTTTTTCTGCTGCTTTACTGGAAATAAATTTTTAACTTTAAACTTCATAATTATTTTAGTTAACCAGAATCTAGAAAAAAGTTTTCTGTATAAAGAAGAGCTTGTTAACCTTAAAAAAAGGAATTTTTTCACTTGCTTTTCAGGTGTTTTTTTTTTTTAAGTATATGTGGTATAGAGTCATGTTAGTTTTTACTTCTGCCTTACGGTACCATCAGAATGGATGTTCATAGTCATATGGGGATGCTAATTTTATCAAGGAATGATCAAATAATATTCTGTGCATTTTGTTTATAATTTTATTTTCCACCTGTGGTCATATATGTCAGATAATTTTAAGACTTTAAAGTTGATAAGACCTGGTTAATGATGTGATTTAAGATTGTGAAGCATAACCCTGTGCTCAATATTTTTATAGATTTATATTAAAAACCAGAAAGGCACTGTAAATCATCTCCCTACTACATATGCATTACATAATTTTTCTTTAAACTATTTATATTTCCAGTGGCCAATGATAATGCTCCAGAGCATGCTTTGAGACCTGGTTTCTTATCTACATTTGCCCTTGCAACAGACCAAGGGAGCAAACTTGGACTTTCTAAAAATAAAAGCATCATCTGTTATTATAACACCTACCAGGTACATTCATAACTGCCAGATGGTTTGCTGATTGCAACTGTTCTTGTCATGTCTTCCATATAAAAAAGCTTGTGTTATAATTCTAAATTTTAGTTTTAAGGATGATGAAATTTTAAAATACTAGCTTTCTAATTGGTCATGTTAAACATAGTAATCTTTTTATACCAGTAATTAGTTAATATGGAAAAGTAGTTTAAAAGATTTAATTCTAAAGTACATACTATGCTAAAAAGGGTAAGTCAGGTCACTGTTAGCTCCAGTAGATGGTGCCCTTAGCTTAACTGTGTTTTCTCAAATGATAAAACTTTTTTATTGTGACAGATAAAAAAATTTCCCTTGGAAGTCAAAGATAAGTTATTTAAATTTGTTATTGCTACTAATTCCCTCATTTGGGTTGTAAAAAAGAAATTACATATATATGAATGAATAAATAGATAAATAAATATGAGTTTATTTTTTATGGGAAAGAAATTAGTTAACTATATGCCTCTTAATCTTCAGCTGCATTTTCTTCTTCAGAATAGATTTTAATAGCTTCTGTGTTAGAACAGTGTTTCCCAGAGTTTGATTCATGGATACTACTGCTGATACACAAGTGACATTTCTTATTTTTAAAAGTTATGTATTTTAATGTATATTAGGCAAAAGAAAACCAAACCATAATTTTACCAGTAAGAATTAGGTTGGAGTTAAGTTTTTTAAAAAGGCATTTGATTTAAAGTTAAATTACAGTGGTACACAGGAGGCAGAAAAATCATGAAGATACATCTACTTGAATGACTGAGAAATACCGACTAGCCATTTAATTACCAAATTTTATTGAGCCTCTACTATGTAACTGACACTCTGCTGGGCTTTTAGAGATACAGAGATGAAAAATACATAGTCCCACCTTAAAAACTTTCTGGCTAAGTGGTGTTAATGTGTCTAAGAGATAATCAATAGGTCTGTTTTATGGAAATACTCATTTTTAGTTCTTCATGATGTGATACCATGTGATAATAACCATCTGGTATCTTACACATTGACCATTTAAAATGTTTTTAAAGATTAAGATACTTCATTTGAATTATACTACCTTTTCACAATGTGACCTATTAGATCTTACTTTCTTTTTAGGTGGTTCAATTCAATCGTTTACCTTTGGTGGTGAGTTTCATAGCCAGCAGTAATGCCAATACAGGTGTGTTTTAATTACCTTAAATCCAGCTTTTAATTCTTTATAATACCATATCTGAGCAGTCTAGTATGATAGGAATAGTAGATTTAGAGTCAGAATACCTGAGTCTGGCCTAGCTCTGCCTATTCCTTGGTATCCAGAAAAGTAACTTCTCTGAATTCTGTTTTTCATATCTGTATAGTGGAGCTAGTATCTGCTTTCTCCATCTTAGGAGGTTATTTTCCAGTTCAAATGAGAGTGTATGGGCAAGTGATGCTTAGAGAAAGGGAAATTAAATGCGAGCTTCATCTCTTGATTGCTACATCTTGCTCACATTAAAACAGTTTAAGAAAATAAAAGGGAACCAGAGAAAATAACCAAACAAAACATAAAATAATCAAAGATGAGTTTAATTCCATAATCTGTTAGAATCTTAAAAATCTTGAATAATAATGGACAAGATAAGATGACTGTAATTGCTAAATTTAGGAGCATGAATAGGATGAACATATTTGTGTTCTTCCTAAGAGTTAAAGAATTTGAGAACAAACACTAGGAAGCTGTACTTTCTATAGAAAATAGTAAGATCCCATTATATCTAGTACCCTTCACTGTATATTCATGTGTAAAATAATGACTATTCAGTTGAACTGTAATTTTTTTACTCCCTTTTGGATTAAGTGGGATTTTTTTTAAGGTCTGTCTCCTTCAGCTTTGACTCCTGTTCAGAACTCTTACACATTCCTCTGTTTCTTTCCAAGCTGTTTGAGCAAGTTCTATTCCCAACTATTTTTACATTCTTCATCTTTAAAATGAAGGCCTTATATTTTATTATTATAGCTCTTCCATTTCTAAATGTTCTAAAGTTAAATACTATATATAAAAACACTTTGTATATTATGTAGGATAGTAGTACTATCAATATTTTAAGCTTATGAAACCTCAATTGTGATAAATCACCATCACATTCTAAATCATTAAATTGTTATAAATTATGGTAATATATGGAATTATATTTTAGTACTTAGAACATTTCCTTGAGAATCCCAGATGCTTTTAATATTTTGTGAGTCAGAGGAAAATCTTCATTTGTTTGAGCTTACAATAAGCATCTAAGATACATATCCTTTCACTCTGGTAAACTAAGGAGAACCTAGATACGCTAATTTCTAGACTGTTGTCTCCCAGATTCATTATTGAACTTCTATTTAAACATGGAAGTGTATGTTTTATTCTCCTATAGTTCATGTTTAAAATTATTTTTTTCATTTAAAATATCCATTTATGCCTTAGCTTTTTTGAATTTATGAAGTAAATTTCTGATTATTCCTTTGGTCAAGATTGAAGCAGCCTATCTACCTGTCTTTTGATAAAGTCTATTAAAATTTGCTTAGGAAAAATGTGTACCTTTTTTAGTAAAACTCCTGTGTATTATTTCTGAATCAGTGCAGATTTTGAAACTATAAGATATGAAGTTTTCCTTTGAAAACTAATAAAATTATAGCACATGTAGTTCATTTTGTATTTTCTTATACATATTTTTCCTTTATTTACTTTAATAATAGATGATGAACATAAACTTTATAACAGATATGGGTTATTTGGTTACTTTATTTACAATTATAATACTTTGGTTTAGTTATGGAGAATAAACTATTGTCTAATTTATTTTATAGAAACTAAATTTTGACAGGTTTTTCAGGAACATTTGTCTAATGTTCTAACTTTTAATCTTTTGGTTTTAGGACTAATTGTCAGCCTAGAAAAGGAACTTGCTCCATTATTTGAAGAATTGAGACAAGTTGTGGAAGTTTCTTAATCTGACAGTGGTTTCGATCTATACCTTATCTTCATTATAACAAACACAATACAGAGTATCAATCCAGAAATCTGTAGATCACAACAATACTTGTATCAATGTACACATGAAAGGAGCCCCTTTCTACCTTATACTAAAGAAAGAGCCTATAGATATAACTAACGGACAGATTGATTGTCATCTTTTCTTGTGTAAGGTCTTTACTTAGTGATATCTGGAAATGCCACAAATACAGTTCAGTCTGTCACAGCTCCCATGGAGTTAGTCCGGTCACCAAATATGCACGAGATTCTGTTTGGTGGGTCAGAATCAAAATGGTATTTTGAACCACTTGAGCCGTTAGGTGTTCCCTGTTGTACAGTATGCCCAGGCCTTCAGAATGAAGCAGGCCTTTTTTTATTGTGAAAAATAATGACGTATTTTTTCTTCATACTGTTTTACTTCTTTGCATTGAGTGTGAGAAAGATAAAATGGCTTAGTAAAAGTAATAAAACCAGTACAATCACTAACTTTCCCATGTATATATTATTTTGCAGTATAGATGAATATTATTAATTGATTTGATTCTTCTCAGAGGGTGCTGCTTTTTAATGAAAATGAAAATGATAGCTAATGGGTTTTTCTGCTTTATATAACCCATCAGTGTTTTAGTGTTTGTGTGTTCTTTATAAAATTAGATATGATTTGTTATCAAACTGTTTTGAATGTAAGTATGTATGTAAATGATAGTACAACCATTTTTTTCATACATGAGTATAAATAAAATAGTATTTTTAAAAGTATAGTTTGAGAACTAAAAAGGGTTTTTTCTCCCTGACTTCTTTCAAAAGTTTAAAGAATATAATTAACTGAGTTCTTTCATGAATAAGCAGAGGTTTCTTGTAGATATTGGTTTGGTGACTGTTCTACCAGCAGAAAGTGCCAGTAGGAAAGTAAACCTCATCCATGAGCCTGATTCGTTCAGCATGAAAGAAGCATCTCAGCTGTCCAGGGTGCCCTTTACATTGAAGGATGCAGCCTGTCGTAGCTCCAGGTGTTTCCTCCTAGGTTCTCTGCAGTCATTTTGTCACTGGTACGGTGCAGTACCGTGCACCAAGCGCTTGTGTGTACTGGTTATGAGTGGTCACATGGCAGAGTTCTAAGGAGCACAGTTCATGTTGTACTTCTGTGCTCCAGGGGTGCGTGTGCCTCTCACATGGAATGTGTGTGGATGCTCTCCCTAGAGTTGTGCAGTGAGGCAGGCAGCAGGTTCGCTCCCTCCCTCCTGTCTTCCTGTACAAATATGGGACTGAATTGGTACTTCCCTTTACAAAAGTTAAAGCTTGGTGAATAGCAGCACATGGGAAATGCTGTGATAAAGCTGTGCATAGGATGCTGTACAAACAATAGGAGCATTTAAATTGGGCAACAGCCTTTACACAGAAAAAGAGGCAAGAGAGTATGTTTTACCTGCAGGGAGCTGTAAGTAGTTAGTTGTTAAAATCCAATAAAGCATTTGACATACTCAATAAAATCTAGAATTTTAATTCTTTGGATTGTTTATAGTGTCTAGGCAATTGTTACTAAGGTGGTGATGCATTAAAAAGATCTTTTATGAATGTGACCAAAATTTCATTTGCAGATAGTAATAATGTATTTAAAAATCCCAGGAAACTATAATAAATGGAGATTTGCATGGCAAATACTGCTACTATTAAAATTTCTTTAAAGAGGTATATACGTAAATTGCTCTACAGTTCATCTGGAAAAATAGGTGAAAATTGCTAAGGAATTTTGAAAAGAATATGCAACTATTATTATTTTTTTTTATTTTTATTATTTTAAATATATTAGTAAACTCAATTTTCCCAGAGATGTAATTCAAATATAAAGTTATAAATTTACAACAAATAAGAAATTAGAAAACCTGTTAGAAGCAAGTGATAGATCGGATACTGCAGACTCTTCAAAGAGTGGTTTGTCCCTCTGTTTCCTTAAAGTCATCTGCCTTCACAGGATGAGTGAAACGGAGAGCGAGGTCGCAGAGGAGTAGCCGGGAGAGCTCTTCCGTCTTCAGCTCTGAAGAAACAGCGCTGATGTTTGTAGTCAGGGCTCCCACCTTCAGCTTACAGTCCGCAGCATGATTCTTAAACATCTTTAAGTCAGGTTCTTGCCTCTGCCTTTTCCTGAGTCAGGGGTAATTTATCCGAATTCACTCACTCCCGAGCCACTGCCCACCGGCACTGGAGCTCTACCACTGCATGAGGCAAATTGGCAGAGAACAGTTGGATTTTCTTTTTTTTTTTTGAGAGGGCATCTCTCATATTTATTGGTCAAATGGTTGTTAACAACAATAAAATTCAGTATGGGGGGGGTCAATGCTCAATGCACAATCATTAATCCCTCTCAAGCCTAATTCTCGTCAGTCTACAATCTTCTGAAGCATAACGAACAAGTTCTTACATGGTGAACGAATTCTTACATAGTGAATAAATTCTTACATGGTGAACAGTACAAGGGCAGTCATCACAGAAACTTTCGGTTTTGATCACGCATTATGACCTATAAACAATCAGGTCAAATATGAATATTCATTTGATTTTTGTACTTGATTTATATGTTGATCCCACATGTCTCCCTCTATTATTATTATTTTTATTTTTAATAAAATGCTGAAGTGGTAGGTAGATGCAAGATAAAGGTAGAAAACATAGTTTAGTGCTTTTACAACTAGTATTTTTAAAAGGCAACATAAACTAGTTCGAATGCACAGCTAGTCAGATCAGTGGGACAGATTAACCCAGAAGTAGACTTTAGTATATTATGAATGAGGACTTGAAACATAAAGATGTTATCATAATCAGTGGGAAAAGGATTATTCAATAAGTAGGGGAGGCATTTTTTGTGTCTTGCTGGTAGAAGTATAAATTGTTAATTTGGACAATTTGGCTATCTTTATCAAACTCAAATGCCCATAACCTTTGGCCCAATGTATTAGGATTCTCCAGAGAAACAGACCGATAGGAGATACATAACTATTACATGTAAACATGCATAGTCCATTTCATATATAAAAGATTTGTTATGAGGAATTGACTCACATTACTATGGATACTGAGAAGTACCCTAGTCTGCAAGCTGGAGAACCAGGGGAGCCAGTTGGTGTCTCACTGAGGGCAGAAGAGAAGATGTCCCTGTTCAACAACAATGCAGAAAAGGGATAGCACGTGCAACTTTATCATAAAGCGTATATCCTCTCCAAGTGAAGATGGTAACCAAGCCATATTTCAATATGATCCGCTATGCTGCCTACAACTGCACGTTAACCCTCCCCCAGAAGAGGAAACAGACCTCTTGGGTGACATTGCTCCCTGCAAGCATCGTCACTCGTCATGGTTGTACTCTGTGGGGTTACCCAGACCTTCATTACTGAGGAATCTGAGCCATTAGTTGTCCTTCCTGGATCCAGTGTTGTACATTTCCATTGACTTTATAGTCACCAGGCTGTAGTGCTGAGATCCCCTTGATCTATATTTTGGATGTATTCTTCCATACCTCCATTGTGCAGTAGCAGCCCAGTTTCCCATCAGGATCAATCACCCCAGCCAATACATCAATTCCCTTTGTTCAGAAATGTGAGGAACGCAGTGTAGCCTGGTAGCAGTCTTAATGTCCAGTTTAATAGAATTTTATGTACTCTGGTGGAGGCATTTCTTCCCTTGGAACAAAAATCTCAGACCAGCACAGCATAAGATAGTGGGGACAAGAAGCAAAAATTGTGCCAGTAGGTTGCTAGAGTTAATAGTGATGTCATGCACATTTCCACCCTTTGATTCCTGGACCCGTGAATCCTGGTTATGGAGAAATAGGACCATATATTGAATGCAGATTTGGAGTAGAGATAGCCTGGAGATCAGTGTTCCAGCCCTGTAAGGAATATTCCAACCTTGCTTGGGCTCTAACTGTTCAAAAGGCCATTCCACCATTCTGTTGGGTTAGCTGCTTCAAGATGATGGGGAACACGGTAAAACCAATAAATTCCATGAGCAATATGAGAACTATATTGCCTCCAGAATCCAAAGAGGCCCCAATACTCTGCCTCTCTTTTGGGTTGTGAGAGGTGCCAGCTACAGTAAGTTATCCTCTGCCTTATAAAAGATATCTTTACCCACACCTCTGGACCCCTATAATTTCAGTGAAGAGGAAGGCTCTTGATTTTTTTTGCTAGATTTCCCATGCTTGGGCAAATAAATGTCTTAACAATAAGTCTAGAGTAGTTGCTACTTTTTGTTAATTAGGGCCAAGTAGCCTAATGTCAGCAGTGCAATATACCAGTGTGATGTCTTGTGGAAGGAAAATGTAATGAAGAAAAAAATATTCCAGGTCAGTAGCTGCAAACCACGACGTATGAGGGAATGTTAATTTGCTCAAGCAGTAGAATGATATCCAGAGCAGTGACTGCAGCTGGAGTCACCACATGGCTAAGTTTCTGATAATTGTCATTCTCCAAGATCCATCCTTTTTCTTCACAGGCCAGTAGGTGATCCAAACGGGGATGTGGTGGGATCACCAACCCTGCATTCTTCAAGTCCTTGATGGTGGCATGAACCTGAAGTCCTTCCAGACATGTATTTCTTTTGGTTTAGTATTTCCCTAGACAGAGGCAGTTCCAGTAGCTCACTTTTTTGTCTTTTCCCATCATCATAGCCCCTCACTCCATGGGTAAGAAAACCAATGTGAGTATTTTGCCAGGTGCCAGGTCTATACCAATTACACACTCGAGCTGGGACAGTGACCATAGGTTTAGGAATTTGCCGGACCCACTTCTCTAGTTCCATGTTTGCTTTTTTTGGTGAAAGATCCAGTCCCTCTGCAGATGCCTGCCAACTTTTCTGGGAGTCCCCATTGAGCCCTTTATATGTACTCCTGAAACCAATTTTTGCAGACACCACATGGTACCTGCCAATTAAATATGCTGCCGATTAACATTCCTGTTCTCTGGGATGGGCTCTGCCCCCCAAGCTCAGGCTGCTGTTGCTGACTGAGAAGGCAGCATCTAGAGAAGGCTGAAAGGCTGAACAGTCCCAGCGCCTGTCCCCTTGAGACCCTAGTGAAACAGCTCCTTTAGGTTTTGCTGAGGGGCTGCTAACAGACAAGAATGTGCTCAGAATCATCCTCTCCGTATAGGAGATGTCCATAATCCATCAATAAAACATTTGCACTTCAGCCCTCTCTACCCTCCCTTCAGGTGAATTCTCTCTCAAGAAGGCTCTAGGTTCCTTTTACCTACCAGTCTGCTGGACCAGGATCACTTACAATGTGGTCCAAAAACTGCCTGCTCTCTGTTGGGAGTTCATGGCAAGATACGTACAGATATGGAGAGTGTTTTTTAAAAAAAGCAACTAGACATACTAACTTTAAGTAGCAGTCTTAATGTCCAGTTTAATAGAATTTTATGTACTCTGGTGGAGGCATTTCTTCCCTTGGAACAAAAATCTCAGACCAGCACAGCATAAGATAGTGGGGACAAGAAGCAAAAATTGTGCCAGTAGGTTGCTAGAGTTAATAGTGATGTCATGCACATTTCCACCCTTTGATTCCTGGACCCGTGAATCCTGGTTATGGAGAAATAGGACCATATATTGAATGCAGATTTGGAGTAGAGATAGCCTGGAGATCAGTGTTCCAGCCCTGTAAGGAATATTCCAACCTTGCTTGGGCTCTAACTGTTCAAAAGGCCATTCCACCATTCTGTTGGGTTAGCTGCTTCAAGATGATGGGGAACACGGTAAAACCAATAAATTCCATGAGCAATATGAGAACTATATTGCCTCCAGAATCCAAAGAGGCCCCAATACTCTGCCTCTCTTTTGGGTTGTGAGAGGTGCCAGCTACAGTAAGTTATCCTCTGCCTTATAAAAGATATCTTTACCCACACCTCTGGACCCCTATAATTTCAGTGAAGAGGAAGGCTCTTGATTTTTTTTGCTAGATTTCCCATGCTTGGGCAAATAAATGTCTTAACAATAAGTCTAGAGTAGTTGCTACTTTTTGTTAATTAGGGCCAAGTAGCCTAATGTCAGCAGTGCAATATACCAGTGTGATGTCTTGTGGAAGGAAAATGTAATGAAGAAAAAAATATTCCAGGTCAGTAGCTGCAAACCACGACGTATGAGGGAATGTTAATTTGCTCAAGCAGTAGAATGATATCCAGAGCAGTGACTGCAGCTGGAGTCACCACATGGCTAAGTTTCTGATAATTGTCATTCTCCAAGATCCATCCTTTTTCTTCACAGGCCAGTAGGTGATCCAAACGGGGATGTGGTGGGATCACCAACCCTGCATTCTTCAAGTCCTTGATGGTGGCATGAACCTGAAGTCCTTCCAGACATGTATTTCTTTTGGTTTAGTATTTCCCTAGACAGAGGCAGTTCCAGTAGCTCACTTTTTTGTCTTTTCCCATCATCATAGCCCCTCACTCCATGGGTAAGAAAACCAATGTGAGTATTTTGCCAGGTGCCAGGTCTATACCAATTACACACTCGAGCTGGGACAGTGACCATAGGTTTAGGAATTTGCCGGACCCACTTCTCTAGTTCCATGTTTGCTTTTTTTGGTGAAAGATCCAGTCCCTCTGCAGATGCCTGCCAACTTTTCTGGGAGTCCCCATTGAGCCCTTTATATGTACTCCTGAAACCAATTTTTGCAGACACCACATGGTACCTGCCAATTAAATATGCTGCCGATTAACATTCCTGTTCTCTGGGATGGGCTCTGCCCCCCAAGCTCAGGCTGCTGTTGCTGACTGAGAAGGCAGCATCTAGAGAAGGCTGAAAGGCTGAACAGTCCCAGCGCCTGTCCCCTTGAGACCCTAGTGAAACAGCTCCTTTAGGTTTTGCTGAGGGGCTGCTAACAGACAAGAATGTGCTCAGAATCATCCTCTCCGTATAGGAGATGTCCATAATCCATCAATAAAACATTTGCACTTCAGCCCTCTCTACCCTCCCTTCAGGTGAATTCTCTCTCAAGAAGGCTCTAGGTTCCTTTTACCTACCAGTCTGCTGGACCAGGATCACTTACAATGTGGTCCAAAAACTGCCTGCTCTCTGTTGGGAGTTCATGGCAAGATACGTACAGATATGGAGAGTGTTTTTTAAAAAAAGCAACTAGACATACTAACTTTACCTATGTTTGATAATAAAAAATTGGGATATTTACAGTTTTATTTCATTTTTCTAATAACTTATCTTTATTGGATTTTACAGAATCCCAGTCTGTGCTAGATCAGAAATTTCAAAAACAGAAAATCTGGTTCTTCGCTACAGATGAGTTAAGAAGCTCTGTCATGGCCAGGTTTCCTGAATCCGCAGTAGGCAGTGTGGGGTCAAGCCTGGAACTCAGCTAGATAGCTTATTTGCTTGGAAGAGTTTGGCAAAGATACAGGTTTGCTGCAGCCGGCCTGCAAGAGTGGAGGGGAGGGGATTAATGTTCCTTTTACATTAGCTCTTTTGCTCTCTGCCTGAAACAGGGCACTCTCTCCTGCAAGAGCAGTGCAGGCTCTGGGGCACTGAGTGTTTTTCCAGCAGCTCTGGAATAGGGGCAGGTGGCCCTCAGAGGCAGTGATAGCCTTCCCCCTCAGGGGGGCTCCCCTGGTCCAGAGAGAGCAGTGCTTCTGTGGGGCAAATTTTCCTGGGGGCAGTTCTTAGAATAATTGCTAATACTTCAGCTGTGTCTTAAAAGGTACTGCTTCCTTTACGGTAAGCACATACCTGTTAGCAGACAGGTCCTGACACAGTGACCCCACTGCCTGTTCTCTCAGACGGCTCCACTCCCATATGCCACGAGCATGAAACATCCTCCCTCGTCTCACACTTGGAGAAATAGTCAAGGGCCCTTCACAGGGCTCCTTTCCCAGGGTGAAATCATGACGACTTTTCTGGGCTGTTGAGAGCAGGTAAAGCATCTAGCACCATCCTAGTTACATAGTGGGTTTGTGTTAACTCATATCGTCATGTCAAAATGCTCCAAAAAATGGCTTTGTCCCTGCTGATGCACACTCCCATCACATAGCTTGGGTGCCTTACTTAACAGAATTGAACCTGCTTGCTTCTATACATTACCATAAATGTATTTCCTATCTTTTCCATATTCAACTAAGAACTTGAGGACTGGGACTATTTATTTATTCAACCCTAAATTCTTTGTAGCACATAGTCTAACCAAAGTGGATTTTTCATTGCTACTTACGATATTATTCAGTTGTATTTCTTCTAAATTACAGATACTAAAAATATATTTTAATTGCAAAATATTACAGGCACAGCATTCTTTTATAATAAACATAACCAGAGTATAAACAAACATGACATATTTTACAAAAAGCAAAAACAATATTACCTACACAAAGAAACACCCATGGTTCTAAGAAAACAAAACATAAAAACTGTACATCTCGGTGAAGATTCATTTGTGACTCTTTACTTTGCAGACTTGACGTAATATACATTTTAACTTGACCTTTGCTTTATCCCATATGATACAAAATACATGAAAAATCTTGTTGAAATATACAAAAACTTAATGTAATTTCCAAGTCCTAGATGTTTAAATAACAGAAGAAACTTAATTTAACAAGTATGCCTTTGGACTGCAAGAGCAGTGTTATAACATAGCTTTGCACGATCCTCTTTGTTTTGGGGTTCTTCCACTTTTATTCCCTTCCAACTTCTATCTTAAAAACTAGGATTTTAAAATAATACTAATAAAGCTAATAGGAAGGGTTAGCATCTATTTATGATTTCTGGATGCCATTTTCTCATCCGCCTACTCTAGTTTGAAAATGCTGTGTAGCCCATCAGTATACAATTCATGTGGTTTTAGTGTTGAGCCTTCAACTGGCAACAGAAGTTGCTCTTGAAAAAGGTGCAGGGTGCTCAGCCTTCGCAGTGCATGCTCATTCTTACTTCTCTTGGACCAACACCCACAGCTCTCTCTAGGGAAGGGAGAGGTATGACACTCCACGTGAGAAGTCTTTTTCAGTCTGGAAAAATGTTGGATGAAGATAACTTAGTGCTCACAAGTGCTCTATTATTATTATAATTGTAATAATAATAAAGACTACTATTGTTATTATTAAATTATAGGTTATCTACTACTCTGTTACTCTAATTTATATTTTCTCACTTTTTAAAACATCTCCCCCACAATGACTTAAGGAGATGTTTCTTAGATTGTACATTCCTTTATCTTTGTCATCCCACCTTGTCAAGCACAGGACATTTAGTTCTCATAGGTGTATCATTAGAAGGGAAGGAAGGACCCACTAGTTTTATGAGCCTTTTACAAACAGAAAACAAATACTGCAAACAATTCCCATTTTAGTTTTGGAAATTGTTCTGTTTTTCCTATTAAGAGGAGAAAAGCCTAACAACCCCGCCCCCTGCCCCAAATCTTGGATGTCTGCATGCTTTCTGAGGAAGCAGTCTAAGCCTCAAAGTACATAGCTGCTTCCTTCCTAGTTCAGAGCACAACCTGCATGCTAGAGGAGCTGACTGACACAGAGCACAACTCTGGGCAGCTAACATCAGCCAGCGAGGGAAATCAAAAACCCTTTATCATACATTGCGTGCTCTAAGAGTGAGCACACCTGGGGGTGGTGTTGCCCTCTGTCTCCCCCAGAACGATGAGGCGATGAGGCTTTGGTATTCTCAAGGACGTGCCAACATCTTGAAGGGTAGAAGTTTTCCATGAGTCAGCAAATGTGTGTCCTGAAAGGTCCAAATTTGCACCTGCTTTTCACTTGTTTCTAAAGAAAAATCCTTATCAGCTTTCATCGGCAGCCTGCTATGGATCACAGCATCAGGGATCATACAACCTAGCTCCTGGGTTGGGGCATTCCTTGCCAGGAAAGTCTATTTAAAGATGAACGACTGTGATCGGATTGTGCCTTCCCCTTGGTCAAGCTGTTTTCTTATTTGAGACTGTAAGAAAGCACATACACATATATTCATTATTATTTACTATGACTTTTAACAAATATTAAAATATGCTGATGAGTAAGACAAACATGCAAGTATAAACTAATCATGTGCCACACTCAAGTTTTAATCTGGTTTTCTGTATTTTTCTCAGTAGAAATATTGTAAAGTGGTTACTAAAACATATATAAATTGGGAATTGTCCTAATACTTATGATAATCCATAAAATGCAATACAAGTCAATGAATCAAAATGAAGATACAGATCTAAATTTATTGACATGGAAAGTTGTTCTAATGTTAAGTGAAGTAAGCAGGCAAACAACTAGAGAATGATTAGATTTTGTTTGTAAATATTTGCACAGGGATAAGACTGAAAGTATGTGTGCATCTCATGTATTTTTAACTTTATTTTTCTATAATTATGTGTTGCTTGCATAAATACAAAATAGAATAAAAATTTGATTCACATCTAAGCAAAGGTTTCATGTGGCGTATTTTCCCATTGAATATCAAATATATTGGAACTATTTCAAAATGAGTGTCACATTTATTTAGATTTCAAACTGAAAACATACCCAAAAGCAAAAGTCTCAGTATATAGTAAGGGTTATATAACAAGATGCTATATGTCAGCTAATTTCACTTAAAAAGAAATCAGGAAAAATCGTTTACGGTTGAAAATATCGAAGGTTTCAAGACAGAATTTAGAGAGAATGTTAAAAACTTGGACAAGTTCTTGAGAAACAACTCACTAACTTGCCAACCCATCCAAAAAACTGTATGAGACTGGTAAGTTGTTATAAACACTCTTGCTCCATCTCCCCCCTGGTAGGTACACAGAAAGCAGATAAAATAAACCTTTTGTAGACCTGCACAAAGTAACACATTGGAACCTGAGTTCCTCTGCAAGCTTCCCTCTCTGATGATTGAAGAGTACTGTCTTCTATGGAAGCATGTCCTCTGTCTGACCTTGTGGTCCCACATGTCCTCCTCCAGGTAAAACTGGACTAGGCTGCACACTTAACACTGAAAGCCTCCAGGGTGTGCAGATGAGGCTCTGGCACTGAGGCCCCGGGCAGCTCCACCCTTTCTCTTTTGCCCATCCCCATCCTTCCCACGTCCTAGAAGAAGGAATAGACTATTACCAAAGCCTGCAAGCAGACATCCCATTGATTCTCAGGGATAGCCCGACTTTTTCAATAGAACTATATTTGGAATGATCAACATGCTGTTTCTGAGCATGAGGTTTTCCAGGAGGCTTGTGTAACTCACCAATTTCCAGCGTAATATCTTGATCCACTCATCAGCTTCTACTCCTGTCTTTGCACAGAGATAAAATGTCCTGAATGGAAATACTAAGCTGATAAAAGAAAGAATGTAAGACATCTGCAAGTGGTTGGTAGAATATATGTATTGTTTGAACACTAATTAGAGCATTCCAGGAGAAAACTGAAGTGACGAGGGTGTGGGTAAGCAACTTGAAGAATTGATAAATTTAGAGCTATACTTGCCAGCAAACCACAGAAATGTTGAAAGAGTTGTAGTTTCATAATTTTTTACAGAGAATTTTTTAATGAGAATTCAAAGGGAAAAACACATCCAGGACAGCCCCAGATGCTTCTGTTGTTCATGTTTTAGATTGAATACATGTGTGTTTATTCAGCTGATTTGTTAAATGACTCAGAACCTGTGCGAAGAATAAGCAAGACAATCCTAATATAAATTGATCACGAGGATGGTAGGGCAGCATGGAGAATATAACCGATGGTTCTGTACCGTCTTCCTATGCTGACAGCTGGTAACTGCACTAGTGGGGGTGAGGATTTAAGGATATGGGTAACTCTCGAACCACTCTGTTGTATACTTGAAACTAATATAAGACTACATATCAATGATGATTCAATTAAAAAAAGGAATAAGCAAGACAGGTAAAAGAGTTTGCTGAAGGAGCTTATTTGTGTTAGCCTGCTTCAGAGGACAGTGCTTGCCCTCTGGGGATGAAGGCAGTTTTAACTGTGGAACAGGAAAAAGAGAATCTCCCCAACTATTTATTTTGCCCACTTAATTTCAAGTAAATTTCTGCTGGAAGGAAAATAAGCTTTCCTACTGGCATGAGAAACTTATTCTAGGAATATGTAACTCTTCATTTGACTGTCGCTTGCATAAATACAAAATAGAACGAAAAATTGATTCCCATCTAAGCAAAGGTTTCTTATGGCAAAGTACATGGTCAAATTCATTTGACTGGTAAGGTCAGCCCTAACTTGTATCTTGCCCACATTTGAGGTGCAAAACTAAAATATTTTCTTCCCTCTCAGAAAAAAAAAAAGCCTGCACTGTAATTTAGAAGGATTTCTCTATTCTAAAGTCAAAACAGCATACCTTGTTTATACCAGTAATTAATGTTGATAGACAAGACATAAGTCCCTACGTATACCTTGATGTGAGATGTTGTTGGGTGATTAGCAGGTGGGAAGGAGTGATGTATATGAGACTGGTAAGTTGTTATAAACACTCTTGCTCCATCTCCCCCCTGGTAGGTACACAGAAAGCAGATAAAATAAACCTTTTGTAGACCTGCACAAAGTAACACATTGGAACCTGAGTTCCTCTGCAAGCTTCCCTCTCTGATGATTGAAGAGTACTGTCTTCTATGGAAGCATGTCCTCTGTCTGACCTTGTGGTCCCACATGTCCTCCTCCAGGTAAAACTGGACTAGGCTGCACACTTAACACTGAAAGCCTCCAGGGTGTGCAGATGAGGCTCTGGCACTGAGGCCCCGGGCAGCTCCACCCTTTCTCTTTTGCCCATCCCCATCCTTCCCACGTCCTAGAAGAAGGAATAGACTATTACCAAAGCCTGCAAGCAGACATCCCATTGATTCTCAGGGATAGCCCGACTTTTTCAATAGAACTATATTTGGAATGATCAACATGCTGTTTCTGAGCATGAGGTTTTCCAGGAGGCTTGTGTAACTCACCAATTTCCAGCGTAATATCTTGATCCACTCATCAGCTTCTACTCCTGTCTTTGCACAGAGATAAAATGTCCTGAATGGAAATACTAAGCTGATAAAAGAAAGAATGTAAGACATCTGCAAGTGGTTGGTAGAATATATGTATTGTTTGAACACTAATTAGAGCATTCCAGGAGAAAACTGAAGTGACGAGGGTGTGGGTAAGCAACTTGAAGAATTGATAAATTTAGAGCTATACTTGCCAGCAAACCACAGAAATGTTGAAAGAGTTGTAGTTTCATAATTTTTTACAGAGAATTTTTTAATGAGAATTCAAAGGGAAAAACACATCCAGGACAGCCCCAGATGCTTCTGTTGTTCATGTTTTAGATTGAATACATGTGTGTTTATTCAGCTGATTTGTTAAATGACTCAGAACCTGTGCGAAGAATAAGCAAGACAATCCTAATATAAATTGATCACGAGGATGGTAGGGCAGCATGGAGAATATAACCGATGGTTCTGTACCGTCTTCCTATGCTGACAGCTGGTAACTGCACTAGTGGGGGTGAGGATTTAAGGATATGGGTAACTCTCGAACCACTCTGTTGTATACTTGAAACTAATATAAGACTACATATCAATGATGATTCAATTAAAAAAAGGAATAAGCAAGACAGGTAAAAGAGTTTGCTGAAGGAGCTTATTTGTGTTAGCCTGCTTCAGAGGACAGTGCTTGCCCTCTGGGGATGAAGGCAGTTTTAACTGTGGAACAGGAAAAAGAGAATCTCCCCAACTATTTATTTTGCCCACTTAATTTCAAGTAAATTTCTGCTGGAAGGAAAATAAGCTTTCCTACTGGCATGAGAAACTTATTCTAGGAATATGTAACTCTTCATTTGACTGTCGCTTGCATAAATACAAAATAGAACGAAAAATTGATTCCCATCTAAGCAAAGGTTTCTTATGGCAAAGTACATGGTCAAATTCATTTGACTGGTAAGGTCAGCCCTAACTTGTATCTTGCCCACATTTGAGGTGCAAAACTAAAATATTTTCTTCCCTCTCAGAAAAAAAAAAAGCCTGCACTGTAATTTAGAAGGATTTCTCTATTCTAAAGTCAAAACAGCATACCTTGTTTATACCAGTAATTAATGTTGATAGACAAGACATAAGTCCCTACGTATACCTTGATGTGAGATGTTGTTGGGTGATTAGCAGGTGGGAAGGAGTGATGTTATGCACACACTGTACACAAACTGGTTTCTGGAATTGTCATTTGGTTCTTACTGTGGGAGACATTATCAATTGCTTTTTAATACAGATAATTTTTCCTTTCTTCTTGCTAACAGAACCCCAGGCATAAATTACAATTAGTCGAAGGCAATTATGATCCTATTAGTCCCCTTTTCTAGTTTTCTCTGCTTCTAGTGATGGCCATGGGACCCAGTCTTGGCCAGTGAGATGAGGGGAAATCTGATTGCAGAGCTTTGGGGGAAATTGTCTGCTTTCCTGATAAAAGGGGATGGACATGACTGATGCCATACCCACATCTTTCTGCATGACTTACATAAAAACATGATGCCTGCAGTTGGAGTAGCTATTTTGAAACTTAAAGTAGCTAGGATGAGGCAAAGCCAAGAGAACTGTAGAGACACTGGACCTGACCTTGTTGAGGTAGCTGCCTGCCTCCCAATTTTTTGTTATAAAAAATATAAACCCCTGCTAGCTCATATGGTAACCTTATAAATTTTAAAAAGATATCCATTAAAAAGATATCCAGGTGGGATTAATGTTAATTTTCTTAGGTGTGATAATGGCATTATAGTTCTGTAGGTGCTTTTTTTTTCTTAGGAGATTTTTACTCAAGTATTTAGGAGTAAGCCATGATGTCTGCAACTTAGCCTCAATGGGTTCAGGAAAAAAAGTAAATAGATAGAGATAAAGCAAATATGGGAAAATATTCACAATTGATGCATCAAGGTGAAAGATATTTGGGTATCTTCTGTATGTTTGGAAAACTTAAATAAAAATTTAAAGTAAAAGTTGGTGTGAAATAAGACACTCCTAAACATGTTTTACTTCTTCCAGTTAGGAAATTGGCATGATATCCTGCTTATATTAGAATAAAAACACTTCTGTGCCATCATCTGCAGGAAATGTCATAATAATACAAATCATCCATCATTGAAGTCAACATTTATAATTAAAATTGAGTAAAAATTCCAAAGGAATAAAGCTGTCTAAGACATGCATGGCTTCCTGTAATCTGTATCATACTTGTGCAGTGTACAACCTAAACAATCGTATCCAGCAGACTTGCTTATTTGTTTAAGCCACTTTAAATGAGGTTTTTATGTCACACTCAGCTGAAACCACTCCTAACATATATGCCCTGCATGATGGTTAAATCTACATTTCTCAAATCAAAACATTTGTACACATAAAGACACAGTTTTTTATTCTCCAACTAAAATCAGCGTCTGGCAAGAAGACTTTTAAAAACATATTGTTTATGAAAAAAACTTACCAAAAACAGTTTACTCTTTCCTGTGAATAATCAAATTGTACAGCTGAACATTCTGTTAAGTCTAGGATCCGAATTGGCTCTGGTGACTTAAAAAAAAAAAGCAATCTATATCATAAAAAGTCACACAAATCTGCTCATCACTTATTCAATCCCAGTAAAACTTACATTATGTGCAACTGTCAATTTTGCTTTCACTAAGAAGCTGATAATAGAAAAGCTCACTAAGGGAAGTCACACACCCTGGTTTGGGGATTCGCTTTTTGTGAAACTGTTCATGAGGAAGAGCTTGTCTTTATCAATTTTAATTTGATGGAGATGGATTTTAATACATAGAAGGGAGCCCTATTTTTCTTTCATGCTTTTAAACTTCTACTTTCTGGGAAATTTTGTGTAGGGAAAGTGAGAAGAAATTTTAAGATGGTTTAATGAAATGGGCATGAGAAATGGACATACTTTTAATAAAGGTGGAAATAGCTGCAAGAGGCAGTTAATACACCGTGGCAAGAGAACAACTGCATTACCCTACACCAGGGAACATATGCCCTGGGAGCTGGTTCATGCAGCCCAGGAGAGCAGTTCCTGGGGTACAAGCCTCGTCTTTGCAAAAGAACTCTCCTCACATCAGGAATCAAGAACTCACATCTCCAATCATTTATTGGATGTTTCAAGCTCTCCTAAGGAAAATTTCAGGGATTTTATAGGTAGATGTTTCTTTCATCTAGAGAGCTGATTTTTAAAAGGAAAATGTATTATCACATTTCTCACCATCTGGTCTTTGAAGTATTTCAGTTCATTCCTGTGCAAAGTGAACCATCTTGTTTTCCAGGTCTGAGAAAAAAAATAATTATCACATGTAGGTTGTGAATATAGGAATGCAATATTTGAACCAATTTCCTTTATTTGAAAAGTATTTAAAAGCTTAGCTTCAAGAAAATATTCTTGTGGTATGTGTCATTTCTGAGAGAAAATTTTCAAAATATACACAAAAATTAAAATGATTCTATGCATTAAGCTCATAATGAAGGTAGAGATATTAACACATTTAAATAAAACAAAATACACTATCATAAATATTCAAGGTGATTTATAACAAACCCCTAATGTCTAGTTATAATAGAAAAGAACTCATTTTTGAGCATCTACTATGAGCTACATATTATCCTAAGAGGTTTATATCAATTATAGCAAATCCTTATACAATTCCAAATATTGTTATTATTTTTGTTTCACAAATAAGCAAACTGAAGTTCAGGAATCTCAAGCTGCATGATATTCTAAACCTTGCCTAAGAATTCCATGGCATCAGTGGCAAAAACTTTTCCCCCAGGTTTCCTTCTTATATACTAATAGACCCCTAATGGTACCTGGGTGGCAGTGTGGGGATACACAAATAAATATTCCATGAATATAAATACCGCCTGTGCTTGGGGAGCATTCCACGGAGAGTGTAGTAGGGATACAAGAAACTAAATATTTAGGTAGAGTTCAAGTAGGTCAGTATCCATGAGAGTTTAAGTGCCCTGACTTATAAGATTGGAAGGAGTAGACATATTTCATGGAGGTCTTCTTAGCACATTAAAATAAAATAGAGTAACTTTAAAGGTACAGTAACATAAATGGAGGATTACTGGAACTCCAGCCTAGTTAAAGTTCTAAACTGTGTTTTCTTTGGGATTTTATAACAAATTACATTAATGCCAGTGATGTTTATGGCCTACTTCTAGGTAAATATTTTAGACAATTTTGATTTCTTCTGTGTTAAAAAAAATGTTTTAGAAAATAAATGTTCTAGAGTTAACTTGCTACTTTGATCCTCAATCGTTCCACTGAAAGATCATTTATGTTTTCCTGGGTGATACGGTAGGCTACTCTCATACACTCGGCTTTGCAAGAGAAGTTGAGTGAGTTTCCAGGATTTTGACTAATATTAGCTACAGAGATGAACTCTTGGAACAGGTAAATTTGTGACTAGGTCAAAATGAGTAGGCAATTATGCTTTAAAAAAATATCAAAATGAGAATTGAATCGACATGGTGTGTTCTCTTCCTTTGTGACAGGCACTAGCAAAAACATGCTTCTTACCTTGACTAGTCCCCCTTGTTTGGTGAGGTATCCTTCTTTTGTGCCCAGCTGAAAAAAAAAGGGCACTGGGTGAAGCCCAGAACTATCACAACATGAAACCCAGATGCTTACAGTATTGTGGGGGTGTAATGCCCTCAAACACAGTCACACACACACAGACGTTGCATTTGTGAAACTCTGTATTAAGCAAAGTAGATGGATATCTTTCTTCCCAGAGTCTGTCTGTATTATGCTAATATGCTTTATGAAGTTTCAAGAGGGAAGATTATTTTATTTATTTTATTTTATCACCTAATCCTTCAAGAAACCTGCTTCTTTTCCACAGACCATCTCTTGGGACCTATATTCCATGGAGCAGGTTTTCAGGAGTGCAGATTTATTCACACTTCATTTATCCAAAAGGGATTTGAAGTGAGAATGAGTCACTTCTTAATTCACACAAATAACACTCTTAGCACCCATAAAATGCAAGGAACGGTGGGGAACTATGTAAACAAAATTAGTGTAAAACAAGGACCCTAAGATGAAGAAACATAATATCATAAATTTCTGAAGAAATTGAATTCCAGGTAAGATATTTTTGTTTAATACAATGTCATAATATACCTTATATTATTAAAAAATGAGTAAAAACTGGGAAATAACTTGTTTGCTGTCAAGGGGACTTTTTTTATGGGAGTTCCCAAGATATTTTTTCCTGAGGTAAATTTTCCCCACCGAATAGAGGAACATCCACTGCCACAGAAAAGTGAAAACAAGAATAATAAATGATCACTTCTTTTAAATTCTTACAACCTTAAAGTAAGGGTAAACTTCTCAGGTGTGCGTTTAAATGATGTTAAACAATTATTGATGAATTTGATATCGCATGTGTTTAACTTGCTTTGACATTAAAAGAAATTGAACTGACTGAACTGAGCTTAGGCATTACATTATGGAAATGGAAAAAACTGACATTTTAGGTTGTTACAGGTTAACATCTATAGAGGCAAAATAATTAAGGGCAAATTGTTATACAGAGACCCGGATAGGATTATTCATTGAAATCAAGCTAAGGAATTATGTTACTGTGTCCATTTTACCTCCATCCAAACAATAGTCTAGTGGTTTGCTAAGGTTTTGATAGGTAACTGGAAGTCTGCAGAAGAAAACTGAGGATACGAGTTTTATTCATGGTCTCAGGAGGTGAGAAAGGAAATAATTATGTAACTAATTTATCTTTAATAAGATATTTATGATCTGTAATAAGGATGTTTCTAAGAGCCCTATGTTGGAAACAACGTAAATATTTTTTTAAAAAATAAGGGATTAGCCTTCCAACTGTCCTTTCTGCCTGCTGCTTGACTGCCTTAAATTTAGTCAGAAACCATGGAATGGAGAGAAGCAAGGTATCAGATGAGTGTGTGCAAGGGCATTCATGCACCTTAAAACAGTGTGGGTGCCTAAGTGGAGAACAGAGAGCATCTGTGCAGGTGACCGCGGTGACAGCAGTTTGGTGCAAGGCACTGAGGCCCAGCAGGGTGAGGGGGCTTCAGCCCGGAGGTGTAGAGGTGGCAGGCAGGGTGTAGTGTCAGGGCAAGGTGGGCATCTGTGGTGGGGGTGGAAGTGGCTATGGCCAGGCAGTGGTGTTCCTGGCAATCGGAAATTGCTTCTTGTGATGGATCAACAAATAAATAAGTGTCCTGAAAATAGTGGCATCCATGTTCCTCACAAATAAGAAAAGTGAAATAACTGGAATGTGCCTTGTTGTATTGGATTATGATAGGAAGAATCAGTGTGGACCCATGGATGAATGAGGTAGATAGATAGGTACAGAGATGAATGTAGACCTCAGTATACGAATGTGCACATGTGCATATACATACACATTTTCCCTAGCTCTGCCTCAGTGGGCTGGGAGACACATCCTGATAACAATAAGCATGCAGCACCCAGATCTTCATTTCTAAGGTACCACTTTCCAGAAAAAAGAACAGAATTTCTTGGAGAAACAGCTGATTCTAGGGCTGGATGCCAGAAAAGCCCAAAAATAAACCTGGGACATTTTGTTATACTAGAAAGTAAGAAAATTCTCAAAGGATCGTCAGGCTATAGGGACACAGAAGTCACCTTGAACAGGCTCTAACTGGCCAAATCTAGAAACGTTTGAAGAATTTAAATAAATAATGATAGTCATGATTATAGCCCATTGATATAAAAATAAATGATTGGATAAATCCAGAGAATTAAGAGCTTTTCGTCATAGTAGAATGACAACCAGTAAATGTGAAAGGAATAATATACTCACAGAATCACCATCTGATAATCACAGTAATAATTAAAACAATGAAGAAATATCAATAGATGCTAAAATTGGATAAAAATATGAGGAACAGGATTTTTTACTTAGTCTCAAAAATGTCCCCCCAAATATTTATTAATAACAAAAAAAATAAAGTGACTTCAGAGGGAAGAAACCTGGCAGACACCGATTAATCAAGTAATCAAACACAGCATACGGAGACGAATTGAAATCGTGTTCCTCCTGAAAGGATGCAGTGAGAAGCACAAAGCATCGTTTTGGTGGTATTCCTACCAAAATGTAAAATCTGAATCCAACCACAGGGCAATGTCAGGTAAACCAAGCTTGAGGTCACAAAATAATTAGCCTTTAATTTTCAGAAGAAATCAAAGTCATGGAATCAAGGAAAAACTAAGGTAGTGTTCCAGAATAAAGAATACTCAGCAGATGGGACAAAAAGTGCAAGCTGGATTTATTAAATCCAAGGATTAGCTACATAGATTATGATATATTCAAATACTGGCATAGGAAGTCATTTTAGGAATTCCATAGGAAGGAATTCATTTTAGTGATGTTTTAGACTATGTAATGAAATAGTTCATAATATATAATTAATTAAATAAACATTGTAATTCTACTTACAACAAAGAGCTCATTTTATATATATACCTATTTATTCAAGAAAGACTAGAAGAATAGACACCAAATCTAACTCTAAGAGCTTCAAGGACGGGATAGTGGAAAAGGCCAACATATAGGAGAGGTGCCCAAGAAGAGGAACTACAAAATGTATTAAAGAAATAACAGAATAAAGAGAGAACCATGTTGCAGAAGCAGAGAGAACAGAAGTTTTAGCGGGCAGGAGCTTAAACATGTCAAATTCCACAAAAGTGAAGTTAAGGAAGCTACCATTTTAGGTGGACCTGTTCTATGTCCGGCACTTGAAATGTATTATCTCAATCTCTACTAAAAGGACTCATTGTATTTCACATTTCTCAGGGCCAGAACAGACTCCGCTTGGCCGTGGCCCAAGCCCGCCCCTCCTGCGGTCTCAGCCACCTCAGTGGAGGGCAGGAGCACTCCCCCTGCAGCTCAGGCCTTCACATGCCACATTCACTCTGTCGGTAGGTCTTGTCTCTTCCACCTTCAGAACACATCCTGGAGCTCTGAAGCTCACCTATGCCTCCCTCTTGTTCCAACGAGCAGTTCTCACCCCTCTCTCCAGTTTTACCGTCTCTTAGCTGGACAGCTGTAACAGCCTCCTACCTGATCTCCTTGCCTCCAATTTTGCCCCCCCCACTCCATTTTCCACTTAGTAATGAGAATAATTTTTTTAAATTTAAAATCTTACATCAATCTCCTCAAAACTCTCCTAACTTCTCATCAACATCTAGAACGAAATAAGTCCTTTACCTTGTCCTACAAGGCCTTGCCTGTTGTGTAAAGGAGGTATGCCTGACATTTTGGACAGGACACCTCTCCTCTATGTGTCACAGCATATTTAGCCACCATGAATCCTACACATTGCTGGAAAATAATTCTCCAGGGTCTCTCCTGTTTCTGTAAGTCTCATGAGCAAGACACTAACAGCCCTTTGCTCCAGACCAATTTTTAAAGCATGTTTGTATAGCAAACAACCATAGAAGACAGAGTGTCTCCCTTTGGAGGAAAAGGCAGACAACCAGAAGTTTTGTGTCATCTATCAGCACCCGTGAAACTGTGGCGGAAGTCAGCTCGTAAGTGGGGTAACATCTTAGACTCTTCATGGTTCTTGACCCCCACTAATGCTGGCCGTGCCCCAGAGCACTATCAATCTCCAAATGCTGCCCTTTGAGAACTCCAGTGTTTTACATGACCAGACCTCCTACCACTTTCCCTCTAACTCCCTTCGTGCCTCTCTTGATCTTCCTGGTTTTTACAACACCTCAGTTTAGTTCTTACCTCAGACTCTGGCGCTGTTCTCTCTGCCAGCAACACTCACATCCTGACATGCGTGGTCCTGCCCTTCAGTGAAGTGTCTGCTTAAATGTCACCAACCCAGAAAGACCTCCCCTGCTCCCCTCTTCTCTCCTTACCCGGCCTTTTCTTTTTATGATGTATTACTGTCTGGTTTTATAGCATCACACTGATTATGGTCTGTGGCTCCCCACTGAAACATATGCTCAAGGAGGGCAAAATCTTTGCCTAATTTACTGCCCGGCTTAACACAGTCCTGGCTATATTGTAGGCACTTAAAAAAGACGTTTGCTAAATAAATGAACTCAATCTTATGTTGTTAAAATATATAAATACTAATTCCCCAAATGCAGTTGCCAAAGTATGGTAAACAGTTTCACACTAGCATCTTCATTTCTGGGCAAACAGCACTTCTATTTTCATTTTTGCTTCAAGTAAGAAGTTGTTTCTCCTGTAAGTAGGCTTTAATTTTCTTCCTCCCCTGCCAGAGCTTGTACGAGAACTGCACCCCAAACAGAGAACGCAGAAGCCTGGGAGCCCTCAGAACTCTCAGGTTGAGGAGTGCAGGGTCTGGTAGACGAGGGGTCACCCGTGGAGGCTGAGGGCTTCTGTGCTCAGTAAGAGACAAGAGCACTCTGAGCGGATCGGCATCACTTCCCCGCTGGCTGATCTAGGTGACAGTCACTCCTCTGTGAGGCAGAATGAGACACCTGAGAATCCACTAGGAAACCTTTTTGGTTTTCTGTCTCTATCAATGCACAACAAATTTCATGGACCTCACATTACGTGGTGTGAGTGCAGCCATTCTCAA